CCCTGCAGGAAGGAAACAGCTCCCGTCTGCACCCACAACGGGGTCCCAGCCATGTGGGGGGAGGCACGGGGGACAGGATGAGGTTTGCACACACCTCAGAGAAACCGGCTGCTGCCAGTCCTTCGCCGTCTGCCTTGGCAGCGCTGGGCCCCTCCCCTGTGAGCACGTGGCTGGGGTGAGCTGAGGCCGGGCGTCCACGCGGGGGGCAGCCCCCGAGGTGGTTTCGGGCAGGCCGTGCCCGCCCTGCTCACCCAGAGCCTCATCCAGCTCTGCCGGCCGCTCCAGCGTGTCCAAGAAGTCATTGGAGCTCCATTTGGTCATCTCCTTCGCAAAGACTTCGTCGCTGTCAGACAGGTCCTCTGCAGTGGCAGGGATGGGGCCGTGGGGTGGGCGAAGGGCAGCCCGCACCCAGCCCCTGCTCAGGCTCCCCCCCAGCACAACCCGAAGTCGTGGAGCCGCTCCGCCATACCGTGGGCGTCGAAAAACTCCTCCTCGGAGCTGTTCTCAGAGTCACGGGCAATGTTCTGCATCCGCCACTCGGACAGGCTCTGAGGAGACACCCCCCCTGCCACCAGCACATTGTCAGCGCTCACAGCCCCCAGGGCAGTCAGCCCTCGCTCCTGCACACAGGGGACGCCGAAAAGAGGGTCCCCCGATGTGTCAGCAGCAGCAGCAGCTCCGAGTCTGGGGTCCTGCTCACACCCACCACAGGACCCGTTCCCTCACCTCCGTGCTGGGAAGAATATGAAGAACGGGAAGACGTGGACCACTGCTTGGCAAAAGTATCATCAGGGGAGGCGTCGGACGTGCCCGGTGCCTCGGCACCCTCCTGCCCGCCGGCAGCTCCCGGCTCCGGCCGCCCCTCGGGGCTGGGGCCGGCGGCGGGGGGCTCCTCGGCCTCGCCACACTTGGCCATCTTCTGGGCCAGCATCCGCGCCGTCTCCTCCTCCAGCTGCCGGATGTCCTCCATGGTCAGGTCCGTCCACTCGTCCTGCCAGCACCAGGCCTGGCGGTGGGCGCGCAGCATCACCTTGCGCAAGCCTGCGACAGGGAGCGGGGAGCGAGCGCGGCGTGGCCCCGGCGCCCCCAGCCCAAAATCCCTGCGAGCAGGGAGCCGATCCCACCCCACGCTCACCGACGTCGTGGATGAACTGCTCGATCTTGGACTGCATCCCCCAGTAGCGGAACTCCACCTTGCAGAGTTTGTAGGCGCACATCAGGGGCCCGCCGGCGGCCGCCTCCAGCCAGTCGTCCCCCAGCGGCCCCCGGCCCGTCTTGGCCGAGTGGTAGAGCTTGGGGTCCTCCTCGGGCTTGTACTCCCCGGGGGAGATGGGGTCGCGCACGATGTCGATGGTGTCTGGGGGAAGAGAAGCAGCACTCGTTACCCCTCACCACTCAGAGGAGCGAGAAACGGGGAGGAAAGCAGAGAAAAACACACAAAAACAGGACCAGGGGCACTCTGAAAATTATTTCCACGCACTGTGGGCTCACGCTGGCAGCACCACCAAGCACCATCCCCGTGGCTGTAACCTCAACAGCACCTTTGGGTGCACTCAAGTACATCCCATCCCCATGCCAGGGCCGGATCCAGCGCCCCGAGGAGTGGCTGCAAGAGGCGCAGGCAGCCACGGGGGGGGCTGGGCGCTGCGAGCTGGGCTGACACACTTAGGAGCATTAGCGAGGAGATTTGGCAGCTGGGAGAAGGCTCGGGTGACCCTGGGGACGCAGGGGCTGAGATTGAGGCCAACCCAGGCGGCGTGGTGCAGCAGGGAGCCCCTGCTCGCTGCCTCCCCCAGGAACAGGGCAGGGAGCAAAAGCAAAACCTCGCAACCCCAAATCTGTTTGTCCCCGCTGACACCCCCTGTGCCATAGCAGCAGGGCCAGCATCAGCCCTTAAAGCAGCGCCTGGCGAGCTCAGGGAGCAGCTCGGATCATGGCACGGGGCTGGCGTTATTCCTGTACTGTTCCTGTGTTTTTTTTTCTGGGAGAAAACCTGCAAGGACACTGCTATCGGTGTGGCCAGCTTGGCCCCGGCAGCCCCGGCACTCACTCTGCTGCCAGGCGCCCTTTGAAACGTGAGAGGGGATTTTACATCCGAGGTGCTGGGAGCGAGAGCTGGCAAAGAAAATCCCTCCCGGGTCAGCAGTGGCCCCGTGCTCCTTGAGGAGGGGCTGGAAGCTACGGGACCGGGTCTGGGGATGAAATCAGGCAGGGGTCGTGCCCTGCCCGCTGTCCCCTCGGCCCCGGTTGCTGCTTGGTGGTGGCAGGGACAAAATTTGTCCCCCCAAGGCCTGCACCGCCAGCGTCCCAGCCGGACATCCCCAGTGCTGCAAGAACCAATGAGAGAAATAGGTCAGATGAATCATTTCCTCCGAGTGCCTATTTTAGGCCTCCATTTTAAGAGCAGAGTGTGACGCGCTGCACTCCAGTGCCTAAAACAACCGCACCGACACCACCGGGAAGAGGAGCAGGCAGCAGACGGGGACAAACCTGCCCCTGGGGGGGTGGGGAAGCTGTTTTGGACCCCCAGCTCTGCCCTCAGCCAGCGCAGAGGGGCTGGGACCGGAGAGCAATGCCAAGCAAAGCTCTGGGGAGCAGGAGAAGCAGGGCAGCGAAAGGGGAAAATGGGGACACACTTTCCCAGCTCCCCCCCTCCAGCTGATCCAAAATGCCCTGCCCAGAGCCCGGTGCAGGTTCCCACTCGCGCTACGAGAGGGACAAAGCGGTGCCAGACCATGCAGGACGGGCTGGGATATGGGACAGGGGAGCAGCAAACAAACACACAGGCAAGGCGAGGGGGCAGGAAATGAAATCAACCCCCAGAATGTTTTTAACACAGACGCTCGCTTAATGGTGCCACCACCAGACTGGGCAGGGTGCTCAGGGCACAGGTGCCTTTCCCAGATCACTCCCAAAACACAAAGGCCAGAGGAGGGAGCAAAACCCATTGCATTGTAGGCGCTGAGCCTCTCCTGGGCTGCCCGGTGAAAGGCTGAACCCCTCGGGCTCTGCGGTGCAGCAAGCCCCAGGAGGGCTGCACGGGGACCCTGGCAGGCGTTGGATCCTGCTGGGCTGTGGTGACAGCACCCCTGCTTTACGCACCCAAAATCCTCTGCCTCTTCTCAGCCGCGCTCAGGTTGAAGACATTGGTCTGCTGGCCTGCATCGGGCCGGTAATATGTCTCGATCTCGATGGAGAACTTCTCCACAAAGGGGCAGGTGTACCTGCGGGAGGTGCGGGAACGGGGCTGAGCCCGACAGGCGGCCCCAAAACCCGTCCCGTGTCCCTCCCCACGAGGTCCCACCTGGTGCGGGTGTAGGGGTAGGCGTTCCAGGACTCCTCCTCCACCTGCAGCGCAGCCTTGGGCAGCAGCGCCCGAAACCAGCTGGGGATGTGCGAGCCCACGTGGTAGATCTTGTGGGTGTACTGGCCGCTGCCGCCGGGGCCATCGCTGTAGGGCCGGTTGGCCAGGATCTCCACCCCGCTGCCCTCGCCGCTCGATTCCTCCCGGCTCTTCTTCTGCAGGGCGCGGGCTGGCTGAGCCCCCATGCCCTAAAACCCACACCCAGCACCCCAAAACCCAGCACCTCACCAGCACGCAGATCCCCCACATCCTTCCCCAACCGCAAACCCCCTCAGCCCCACAGCCACCCCTGGGACCCCCCTGCTTAGCCCCACACCCCCAAACCCCTCCAGGGGGGCAGCCCCGTGCCCAGAGCCCCCCAGATTCCACACCACCCTTCCCAACCCCCCCCTCAGCCCCACACCGGCCCCTCACACTCCTCAGCACCCCCCCAGGACCCCCGGATCCCCATCCCGGTGTCCCCAAGACCCCCCAGATCCCCCCCAGCCCCCCCATCTTAGCACCATCCCGATGTCCCCACACGGTCCCGGTGCCCCCCCCTCCCCCTCAGCAGGCCGGGCCGGGCCGGGCCGCACCTGGATCATGTAGAGCTGAGCCACCTGGTACTCCTCCAGGCTCATAGGCAGCAAGATGTGGTACTCCTTGATGAGCATGGCGGCGGGGGGGGCAGCGCCTGCGGGCACCGCCGTTACACCGGCCCCGGTACCGGCCCCGGGCCCGGCCCGGCCCGGCCCGCACGGCGCCCGCCGCAGCGCCGCCAGGCCCGCCCCGTTGCCATGGCAACGCGCCCCCCGCCCGCCCTCCGCGTTCGGCTGCGTTCGGCTCCTCCCGCCCCGCGTTCGGCTCTCTCCGGCCGCGCTCGGCTCCCCCCCGCCCCCCTCCCTTCGGCAACCTTCGGCAACTTTCGGCTCCCTCCGGCCGCGCTCGGGCCCCTCCGCCGCCGCCGCCGCCCCCCGCCGAACCTGCGCCCCGGCTCCGCGCCTCGTGACGTCACGGAAAGGGGGGCGCCCGCTGACGTCAGAGGTGGTGATGGTGCGGGGGGGGCGTGACGTCAGAGAGGGGAGGCGGCGCTGCACGGGGGGCTGCGAGGGTGGAGGGGCCGGGGCGTTAAAACGGGGGAACGGGGGGATAATGGGGGGAAAGGGAGGGGGAATAGGGGGGATTTGGGGAGTTTTAGGGGGATTTGGGGAGTTTTGGGGGGGATTTAGGGTTTGGAGGGGGAGGATTTGGGGGTTTGGGGGAATTTAAGGAGTTTGGGGGAGGGGTTGGGGAGGATTTGGGGCTTGGGGAGGGGGAGTTTTGGGGGGTTTTGAGGAGTGGGGGGGAGGATTTGGGGAGCTTGGGGGGAATTTGAGGAGTTTGGGGCGGATTTGGGGAGTTTGGGAAGTTTTGGGGGAAACTGGGGAGTTTGGGGGGGGGTTTAGGGTTTGGAAGGGGGAAATTAGGGGTTTTGGGGAGGGGTTGGGGGAGACTTGGGGAGTTTCGGGAGGGACTTGGAGAGGTGTTTTTGGAGGGGATTTGGGGTGATTTTATTAGGTTTAGGGTCACAGCAGCTCTCGCCCCCCACCCCCTCCAGGCACCGTGTCCCGAGCTCGTCCTTTATTTATAAAAACCCGCGGCTGCGTAAGGGAAGCGGGGAGGGCAAGAGGGGGGGTCAAGGGGGGGGAGCCCCGGGGGCGGCCCTGTGCGCGTAGGGGCCACCGGCGGGGCTCCGGTCCCGGGGACGGGGACAGGGTGGGGGGGACACCGGGGGCGGCCGTCACGTGCGGGCGTTGCGCTCTGTCTCGGCCAGGCACTCCCGCACCAGCGCCCGCGCGTGGATGATACCTACGGGGGGGGGGGGACAACTGTTAGGGGGGGGTGAGCCCGGTAACACCGGGACCCCCCCCCCCACACACACGGCCGGTGCCGGTGCCGTACCCCGCTTGAGCCGTTCCATGGCGCTCTTGCTGCCGGCGTAGGTGGGCCGGATCTCCTTGCCCATCTCCTCGATGACGGACAGCAGGTCGGTGTAGGTGCTCTGCGAGCCCGGGGCACCGGGGGGCTTCATGGCCTGCGGGGTTAACGGCGAGGGGCTCAGCACCGGGCCCCCCCCACCCCCCAATTCCCGGTACCCCCCCCCCCCATAACACTCACCTGCACGTAACCCATGGAGGGCGGCCCGAAGTCGTTGAAGAGCGGCCGGAACGGGGCGGCGGCGGCGCCGGGCGCGGAGCCTGACGGCGAGGGGACGCTGGTGGCTACCGGGGGGGGGGGGGCACGGGGTCAGCACGGCCTTACCGGAGCCCCCCCCCTCCCGGTACACCCCACCCCCCCCCAACCTCACATCCCCTCCTCACCGGCGGGCGGCGCCGCGGGCCCCGGGGCGGGGCTGGCGCTGGCGGGGGCGGGGCGGGGGCGATGGGCTTGTAGGACATCCCCGCGGGCCCGCGCCGCGAGCGGCTCCCTGGCGAGCGGCGGCGGCGGCGGCGGCGGCGGCGGCGGGCGCGGGGCGGGGCGGGGGCGCGCCGACCCCCCGCCGCCGCCGCCGATTGGGCAGAAGGCGCGGCCCCGCCGCGCTGATTGGCCGCCGGCCCGGCCAGGCCCCGCCCCCCGGCCCCGCCGCGGAGAGAGCGCGGCCCGGCGGCCGCCGCCGCTCGCCAGGCTCCCCCCCCCTCCCCTCCCCTCCTCCTTCCTCCCTGCGCGCTCGCGCCGATGACGTCGCAGCCCGCGCGCCGCGCTGACGTCAGCGCGCCGCCCCCTCCCCGTTGCCATGGAGACGCGCGGCGTCCGCCCCCCCCTCACACAGCGCCGCCATTTTGCCCCCCCCCCCTCCATCTCCATCCCCATCCCCATCCCCATCCCCATCCCCGGTCCCCGGTAGCAAGGAGGCGCGGACAGCGGCGGCCGGCACACGGCTTCATTGCACCGGGACCCCCCCCCCGGTCCCACGGCCACCGGGGGCGGCGTGGGGGGGAACGAACGGGCCCGGGGACCCCTCCCGGTGCTGTTTTGGGGGGGGTTGAGGGGGGCGGTGCCTGGGGCCCTGTGGTCTCGGTAAGGCACGGCAGGGGGGGCTCCTGTCCCGGCTGGGCACCGGCTGCCCTCAGCGCGACATCATCCGCACGAACTCTGCCGGGGGAAGCAGTGGCTGTTAATGGGGGGGGGGGGGGGTTAATTAAGGGGTCACGGAACCGGGGGGGGTCAATAAAGGGGTATTGGAAACGGGGGGGGGGGTAATTAAGGAGTATTGGAACCAACAGGGGGGGGTCAATTAAGGGGTATTGGAACCGGTGTGGGTTAATTAAGGTGTACTGGAACCAGCAGTGGGTTAATTAAGGGGTAACTGGAACCAGCAGGGGTTAATTAAGGGGTGACGGGACCGGCAGGGGTTAATTAAGGGGTAACAAAGCGGTACCCCAACCAGGCACACCCCCTCCAGCCCCGTTACCTTCGAAGTCCACCAGCCCGTCCCCGTTGAGATCCACGTCCTTGAGGATCTCGTCCACCTCGCGGGGGTTGAGCTGCTGCCCCAGCAGCTTGCGCATGGCCTCCCGCAGCTCGGCCATGCTGATCTGCCCAGTCCCCATTGGTGTCGAACTGCCGGCAAGCAGGGTGGGGGGTGACGGACGGTTCCACCCCCCCCCACCCCTAACAGCCTGTCCCGGCAGCCCCCCCGGTCCCCTCTCACCTCGCGGAAGGCGTCGCGCAGCTCCTTGATGCCGATCATATCCGCCGTCTCTGCCAGCATCTTGGGGCCCATCAGCTCCACGAAGTCATCAAAATCCACCTTGCCGCCTGCTGCGGGAGGGAAGCATGGCCAGGGTGTGAGGCACGGCTCTGGGGACACCGCCGAGGGGACACGGGGTCCTGTCCCCCCCCCCTTGCAGCCCCCCGGCACCTACTGATCTGCTGGGACAGCTCGATGAGCTCCATCTCGGTGGGCATGTAGCCCATGGTCCGCATGCACTCGCCCAGGTCCTTGTAGCTGATGTAGCCGTCCCGGTCCTTGTCGAACTCCCGGAAAGCTTGCTTCAGCTCTGGGGACAGCGCGGGGACGCGGGTGGCACCGGGGAGCACCCCCCTTCCGCCACCCCCCCTGGCCACAGAGTAGGGATGGGCGGAAGGGAATGGGTGACGGGTTGGTGACGGGGGAGATTCCAGCAGCGTCCCCACGCTTTACCTTCGATCTCCTCCGGCCGCAGCTCTCGGTCCTGGCAAGAGAAAGCGGGCTGGAGGGACGGCCCCCACCCTAAAACCCCCCCCGGGGCAGGCGGCGAGGTGGCCGCGGGTGACCCCGTGGGATCCGTGTGCCACGACTTCAACCGGGGACAGGGGAAGGGGGGGGCCACGAGGCACCGCCACGGCATTGCCTTGACCCGAGGAGCCCGGGACGTGCCCCCGGGGAAAAAAGAGGCAGGGGGGGGCCACGAGCGACACGTACCAGCTGGGTGATGGCGATGCTCTGGCGGAGGAAGATGCAGGCCGGCCCCACCAGCCCGTGCAGCACCGAGTAGTTCTGCAACGGCGGCGACTGCGCGGCCTCCGCCGCCTCCTCGCCCTCCTGGGGGCCGGGGGGGCCGCAGCGCTGCCTCCCGTCCTGCGGGCAGAGCCGGCCGGTAACGGGAGGCACCCCCCCCGGTAACCCACACCCTATATCCAACCCCCCCCCCCATGCCTTTAACCACCCCACAGGGCCAGCCTTACCTTGGAGAGCCTCCGCTCAGGGGTCTTGGTGCAGTTGCCCATGGCTTGGGGGTGCCCGGGCATCCCTGGCCCCCCCGGGGGGGGTCGCCTGGCGCAGTGCTGGGGGCCGCCGACTCCGGCCCGGGCGCGCCAGGACGAGGGGTTTTTTTATAGTAACAGCGGCTGCGTGGGGATTTGCGGTTTTTATTGAATATCTCGGGATATGGAGGGCGAGGCGGGGGGGTGGGGGGGGGGTGATGGCGCGGGGGGGCAGCACGCGCCCGCACACACACATAATCCCCCGGATTATTCCCCGCTCGGCCGCGCTGCTCCAGATGTGGGGGAGCCACCCAGCTGTCCCCGAGGGGGGGGGGGACACACCGAGCGGGGACACCGAGCGGGGACACCGAGCTGTAACCCTGCCGCCCTCCCCTCTGAAATAATAAAATGAATTCAAATTAACCCAAAACTCATCATTCATTCCCCAAAACCGTCATTCATTCATTCATTCATCCTCCCCACTCCCACCCCCCCCCCGGTTACCTGCCCACCGGCGGGGGGCACCTCGGGGCCCGGCTCCTCGGTGCTCGCACGGCAGCGACCCGGACCCCCCTCCCCGGGGCTCCGCCGCCCCCGGGACCGGAGGGGCTGAGGGGGGGGCTTCGGTCCCGGGGGGGTCCGGCGGGGCGGCCCCGGGGGGGCTGCGGGCAGGGGGCTACCGGGGGCGCGGCGGGGCGAGCCACGGAAGAAGAGGAACATGCTGCCGGTGCCCGGTGCCCGGTGCCGGTGTGTCCCCCCCCTCACACTCCGCCGCCCCCGAATCCGATCCCCCGCTGCCGGGGTGAGATTGCAGCGGGAAACCGGATCCGCTCCGGGACACCCGAGCCGCACCGGGGAGCGACACCGAGACGGGGGGGGGGTGGGTGGGTGGGGGGGGTTACCGGGGGGGTGGTTACGGGGGGGTTAACGGGGAGGGGGGAGCGGGGGGCTCCGGGCGCGGGGGCATCGCGGGCACGGCCCCGCTGCTGATGGGGAGTGGGTCCGGGTGGGGGTCCCGGTGCGGGTCCCGGTCCCGGTCCCGGTGGGGGTCCCGGTCCCGGTGCCGCCCCCCCCCCGCCCCGGTCCGTGACGTCACCGCCGCGCCACCGGCGCCCGCCGCTGCCGTCAGTGTCGCACGCACCGGCGGGGGGCGCCTGAAGGTGACGGGGATTTGGGGGGGGGCCGAGCCCCGCCATGGCCGCCCGGCAGCTGCAGGCGCTGCGCCGCCTCCACGCCGCCGCCTTCTCGGTGAGTACCGGCACCGGGACCCCGCAGCCGGGCCCCGGGACCCGGTGCTGAGTCCCCCGTTGTGTGTCCCCCCCCCCCCCCCAACCCGCAGACGGCGCCTAAGAAGACGCAGTTCGGCTCGCTGCGGGATGAGGACCGCATCTTCACCAACCTCTACGGGCGGCACGACTGGCGGTGGGGGGCTGGGGGGGGTCCCAGGGGGGCTGGGGGGGGCTGGGGGGAGTCCCAAGGGGGGTGGGGGGTGGTGGATGGGGGCTGGGAGGGGCTGGGGGGGTCCCAGGGGGGCTGGGGAGGGGGCTGGGGGGGCTGGGGGGGGTCCCAGGGGGGCTGGGGGGGTCCCAAGGGGGCTGGGGGGTGGTGGATGGGGGCTGGGAGGGGCTGGGGGGGGTTCAAAGGGTGCTGGGGAGGGGTCTGGGGGGGCTGGATTGGGGTCAGGGTGCTGGGGAGGGGCTTTGGGAGTGCTGGAGGGGGTCCAAGGGTGCTGGGGAGGGTCAGGGGATGGTGGATAGGGGGTTGGGGGATGCTGGGGGGCTCCAAGAGGTGCTGGAGGGGGTCCGAGGGTGCTGGGGAGGGGGTCTGGGGGGGCTGGATTGGGGTTGGGGTGCTGGGGAGGGGCTTCAGGGGTCCTGGGGAGGCTCTGGGGGTGCTGGGGGGGGCTGGAGGTGCCGGCAGGGGGGTCTGGGGGTGTTGGGGGGGGACCACGGGGTGCTGGGAGGGTCTGGGGGGTGCTGGATGGGGCTCTGGGGGTGCTGGGGGGGACCAAGAGGTGCTGGGGGGGATCTGGGGGATGCTGGGGGGGCGTTGGAGGTACTGGGAGGAGATCTGGGGGGGACTGGAGGGGCCCCAGTGGTGCTGGGAGGGGGTCTGAGGGTGCTGGAGAGGCCCAGGGGTGCTGGATGGGGCCCAATGGTGCTGGGAGGGGGCGCTGGGGGGCCTTTGAGGGGTGCTTGGGGGGGTCCAGCCCCTCCTGGCGATACCAGCCCCCCCCCGCTGTTGCCGGCAGGCTGAAGGGCGCGCTGCGGCGCGGCGACTGGTACAAGACGAAGGAGATCCTGCTGAAGGGCGTCGACTGGATCCTCGGCGAGATCAAGGCATCGGGGCTGCGGGGCCGCGGCGGCGCCGGTTTCCCCACCGGCCTCAAGTGGAGCTTCATGAACAAGCCCCCGGATGGCAGGTGGGGACCGGCACCGGCACCGCGCGCACCTAGGAGCGCCGGTACCGGGGGCTGACGGTGCTTCCCAACAGGCCCAAATACCTGGTGGTAAACGCAGGACGAGGGGGAACCGGGCACCTGCAAGGACCGGGAGATCATGCGCCACGACCCCCACAAGCTGGTGGAGGGCTGCCTGGTGGCCGGCCGTGCCATGGGCGCCCGCGCCGCCTACATCTACATCCGAGGAGAGTTCTACAATGAGGCCTCCAACCTGCAGGTGAGCAGCAAGGGGCCCGGCGGGGCGCTTCCGGCGATGTGTCCCCCCCGTGCCCACCCGCTGTCCCCTCCGCAGGTGGCCATCAGGGAGGCGTACGAGGCCGGGCTGCTGGGGAAGGACGCCTGTGGCTCGGGGTACGCCTTCGACGTCTTTGTGGTGAGGGGCGCCGGGGCTTACATCTGCGGGGAGGAGACGGCGCTGATCGAGTCCATCGAGGGCAAGCAGGGCAAGCCCCGCCTGAAGCCGCCTTTCCCTGCTGATGTGGGTACGTCCCCAAGTTCCCCTCAGCTCCCGGTGTGCCAGTCGTGGCAGCACAAACCCCAATTCCCCACCAAACAGCCCCGATGCAGTGACCTTGGGCAATGCCTGGCTGCCGTCCCACCACAGGAACGCAGTTGTGCTCAGCCCCGACCACTTGCAGGTGTTTTCGGCTGCCCCACCACGGTGGCCAACGTGGAGACGGTGGCCGTGTCCCCCACCATCTGCCGGCGCGGCGGCGCCTGGTTCGCCAGCTTCGGGCGCGAGCGCAACTCGGGGACGAAGCTCTTCAACATCTCCGGCCACGTCAACAACCCCTGCACGGTGGAGGAGGAGATGTCGGTGCCGCTGAAGGAGCTGATCGAGAAGCACGCGGGTGAGCCCCGCGGCCCTCCTCCGAGCGGGATGTTCCCACTGGGCCCAGCTCAGCCTGAACCCCCCCGTTTTTGGCAGGGGGTGTCCGTGGGGGCTGGGACAACCTTCTGGCCGTCATCCCGGGGGGCTCCTCCACCCCGCTGCTCCCCAAGTCGGTGTGCGAGACCGTGCTGATGGACTTCGATTCCCTGGTGCAGGCGCAGAGCGGGCTCGGCACGGCCGCTGTCATAGTCATGGATAAATCGGTAAGGGACGAGCCCTCCCCGCTGCCTGCCTGCCCCGGACGGGCCCTCACCGTCCCCTTTTTCCCCCAGACTGACATCGTCAAAGCCATCGCTCGCCTCATCGAGTTCTACAAGCACGAGAGCTGCGGGCAGTGCACCCCGTGCCGGGAAGGTGAGCGCATGAGGCTAGGACGGATGGGCTGGGGGGGGCAGCAGCCGGTGCCGTGGGACCCTCACCACCTTCCCCTCCTCGTAGGCGTCGACTGGATGAACAAAGTGATGGCTCGCTTCGTGCGGGGCGACGCGCAGGTGGCCGAGATCGACGCGCTCTGGGAGATCAGCAAGCAGATCGAGGGCCACACCATCTGCGCCCTGGGTGACGGCGCCGCCTGGCCCGTGCAGGTGCGGGGCTGTGGGGCCAGGAGGGGGGGTTTTGGGGGATTTTCGGCTGGTGTTAATTCCTGCCCTGTTAATTCCGCCTCGTTTGCTCTCCCCAGGGCCTAATCCGCCACTTTCGGCCGGAGCTGGAGGACAGGATGCGGCGCTTCGGGGAGGCCAAAGCTCGAGCGGCCTCGGCGTGAGGAGGCAGCGGTGGAGGACGGGGGGGTGGCACTGTGCTCCCCCCTGCCTGGGGGCTTCGTGGGGGTGAGGGGCTGCTGCTGGGGGCTCCTTAATAAACGCTGCTGTGCTCACAGGCTCCTCTCTCTGCTTTGGGGGGCTGCGGTCATAAAATCAGGAGCAGAGGCTCCCTGGAAAAGGGCGATGTGGCCAGGCTTAGCCAAGGGCTGGGAAGCCTCTGGGTGAGGTCCTGGCTCCCCACAAGCCCCCGTTTCCCCCCCTCTCCCTGGACCCCTGAGCCAAGCAGCTCCCTGGCCCCAAGGAGGGCTCTTACCTGCACCAGCGAGCTGGAGGCTGTGGTGTAAGTGGTTTAAAACATGGCTTTTTACTACAATCACAGTGTCACAGGCTGGGCAGCAGCGTGGAGTGCGTGACAGCCCCGGGGCTGCCCCCTCTCCGCAAGCACACGGCGGGGCTGAGCCCCACGCACCCCAAAAAACAACAAACCAAACCAACGGGCAGCACCCCCGGCGTGCTGCGAAGGGCAGGCGGCACCCCAAAAATTGGGAAAAGGTTGGGGTCAGGCCCTGCGCGGAGGGGCGGCGAGGTGGCGGCCGGGCACGTGGGTCTTCCTGCGGTAGCGCTCGGGCGCCAGCAGCTCCAGGGTGAGCTCGGTGATGATGGCCGTGAGCCCCCAGACGCGGTGGGGGCCGTGGAGGAAAACAGGGCAGGGTGTAGCCGTAGCGGCCCCGCGTGCGGAAATGCGTGTAGCCCTGGTTCTCCTCCTGCAGCAGGTGGGCCAGCGGCAGCGTGAAGGTCTCCGCCACCTGCGGGGACGGGGACACGCACGGGGACGGGGATGGAAGGGGGTCCAGGAGTGCCTGCTGTCCCCTCCCCGGCGTGTGGTCACCCACCTCCTCGGGGTTTGGGGACAGCTTCAGGTTCTCCAGGGGGCCCAGGTTGGCCACGACGGGGACCACCAGCATCCCTTGCTGGAAGGGAGCGGGTGGCGGAGGGGCAGAGGGGGGGTGACAAGTGACAAAAGTTTGTCCCCGCTCGCCTGGAGCCCCCAAAGCCATCCCTGGACACCCGTGTGCCCCATGTCCCCGTCCCCTCTGTCCCACTTTTCTGCCCCATGTCCTACACAGCAACCACCCCGTCCACCACATCTCTGCCACCGTGTCCCCAGACACCCCGTCCCCATATCCCCACCACCACCTCACCCCTGACCCCAGTGTCCTCATCCCCATGTCCCCAGTGCCCCCTGCCCCATTTCCCAGCCCCCCAGCCCCATGTCCCTCTTACCCCACATCCCTGTCACCGTGCCCCTGACCACCCCATGTCCCCAGGCACCCCCGTGTCCCCTCTATCCCTGTCCCCTTTCCCCCAACCCTCCTCCCCCGACCCCGCTGTCCCCATCCCCGTGCCCCCAGCCCCCCCCCGCCGCCCCCCGGTGCCCGGTACCCGGTCGGGCAGACTTCTCAGCATGCCCCAGACGCTGCCCTCGCCCAGCTCCAGCCCCAGCTCCTCCCGCGTCTCCCGCAGCGCCGTGGCCACCGCGTCGCTGTCCGACGCCTCCCGTTTCCCCCCGGGGAAGCTGCGAGGAGCGGAGACGTCGGAAGAACCGGAGGGGGGTGACCGGAGGAAACCGGGGGGGTACCGAAATCACCGACACCCCCCCTTCAAAGCTCACCTCACGTCGCCGCTGTGTGGCCCGGACAGGCTGCGGCAGCGCAGGGTGTAGAGCAGCGAGGGGCGGCCGCGCACCGAGCACAGCGGCACCAGCACCGCCGCCGCCGCCCCCGCTCCGCCGCCCCCCGCCGCCGCCGCCGCCAGCAGCTCCCGGCAGCGCCGCTCGGTGCCACCGCTCAGGTACCCCCGGCGCGGGGGGACGCGGCCCCAAACCGGCCCCGCCATGGCGCCGCCGGGGGAAGGGGAGGGGAAAAAAGGCGAGGGGAGGGCGACCGGCACCGGCCCGGCCCCCCCCGGGGTTCCCGGGAGCGCCGCACCGCGGGAGGAGCGCGAGAAAATAGAGCAAGGGGCGTGCGGGGCTGCCGCTGGGGTGTGCGACCCGGGCGTGGGGTGTGCAGCGGGCCCGGGGGGGGGGTGGAAACTTTCTGCGGGGTGTGCAACATGGTCACAGGGCGAGCAGTGCTCCCAGGGGGCGTGCAATGCTCCTGCCGAGCGTGTAACCCGGTCACAGGGCGTGCAGTGCTCCCGCTGGGTGTGCAAAGCTGCCTGCTCGGCGTGTAAACCAGTTATTGGGTGTGCAATGCTCCCCATGGGTGTGCAACCCAGGCACAGGGCTTGCTGCCGAGTGTGCAATGCCCCCAGTCGGTGTGCAACCCTCCCTGCCAGGTGTGCAAAGCTCACTGCTGCCACAGCGCCTTCTCACGGCCCGTGCGAGCCTCCTTCCACCTGGGGAAGACGCCTGCTGGGCGTGCAACCCTGGCAGCAGGTGTGCAAGCCGGGCACTAGGTGGGTTGCCCCCGGGCCGTCGCTTCCCCGCTGCCCGAGAGGTCGGCACGGCCGCCCGTTAAAACAAGGACACAGAGACGGAGCAGGGTCATGTTTCCGGGTGCCATTATCTTGGGGTGGAATTTCCGCTGCTGAAACAAAGCGGGGACACGGCTCCGGTGGCTGCGTCAGGGAAAGGGTGCTGGGGATTGGCTGGGATCAGCTGGGATGGGCTGGGGCAGCGCAGGTTCTCCTGCAGGAAGCCCCCAGGCCCCACGACAGACACTCTCACACGGCCACCTTTTGTCTCTCAGGATGAAATGATTTTTAAAAAAACGGTATAGAAATCACAACTCTCGCATAATTCTTTGTCTCCGGAGCTCGGCCTCAGCTTCGCGATTCCGCTCGCAGCTTCTTCAGCGGAACCTCCTCTCCTCCCACACGTATCGCTTCCCTGCGGGCACCTTGCGGAAAAACAGGCTGTTCCCTCGGCTCATGTTGCCCTGGAAGGGGACACGGGTTAGTGCGGGGTGAGGCCGCAATGCTCCCAACCCCATCGCGGCCCCAGAGAACCACAGGGCTCCCCCTGAGCCCGCAGGTCAGTGGCCAGGGGGTGCAGCTGGCCCCAGCCCCTCACCTCCTTGTGCAGCTGGCTCCAGCAGTCCAGCCAGGAGGAGTAGGAGGGCGCGTAGGGAAGGAGGCCTCCGGCCAGCCTGGGGAGGAGGAGGAGAGCACCACGGGGTTATTTCCACCCGAGGCTGAGCAGGCGAGGTGAGACACAGCGCCCTGGGGCTGGGCTCAGGCGTGCCCGGCTCCCTCCGAGCCCCCCAAGGCAGCGAGGGATCAAACCCACAGCCACAACGGGTTTGAAACCCTCCTGTACCACTCGGAGCTTTGGAAAGGCAGCTCTGGGGACTGATCCTGCGTGGATGGCTCTCGCTAACCTCTCCGGGCACGCACTGCGCCCTCGGGGGGAGCGCGGGAGGCGAGGGAGGTGGTGGCAGCACGCTCACCCGCAGTTATTGACGGCCATCAGGTTGGAGACCAGCACGAAGGGGTACGTCAGCATGCTGGCGAAGAACTGCGGGGGAAAGCAGGGCTGCTCAGCACCTCCAGCCCCTCCAAGGAGCCTCCTGGGTGTGCAAACACCCAGGCAGGGGCTGTACTTACTCCAGGTGACTGCCTGCGAGTAGCTCTTCATCTCCGCCATGGAGACCTGGGGGAGGAGGAAGGCAGCTTCAGCCCCGATGCGGAGCAGGGACCTGCGTGCCCGCCCTCAGCCCAGTTGCCCCCGCACAGCACCGAGCCCCTACCCCGTTCTCCAGCGCGTACGTGTTGATGAGGTAGGCCAGCATGTTGCAGAGCCAGAGCGACAGGATGTCTCCGAGGAGCCGGGGGATGAGGCCGCTGGAAGAGGAGAGAAGAGGCAGCGGGTTTAGGAACAGGAGGGGGCAGCCCTCTGCCCAACAGCTGGGTGAAACTGGGCAGCTCCGTGCATTGGGATCACAGAGGCTTGGAAAAAAACAGCCTGTGTTGGCTGGAAGAATGCATGCATGATTGGGAGAAAAGGGCTGTGGTGACTCAGAGTGCCCCGAGCTGCCGGCTGTGGGAGGAGGATGAGAGTTTTAATGTCCCCAGGCACAATGTCCCCAGTGCACAACGGGCACTGCGCGCCAAAATTAGGGCCTGGTACAACTGGGTGAGGAGATGGGAGGCTAGGACAAAGCAAGAAACAACGAGTGAGGCTTGTGGGTTTTGGGGAGAGATCCTGCTGACCCCCCCACAAATTCAACATCGAGAGCACTCACGCGAAGAATCCCAGGATGCCTTCTTCTCGGTAAATCGTGGCGAAGGCGCTTAGTGTCCCACTGGGCCGGGGGGGAAGAGGAGAGAGGTCACGCCACGCAGGGACACGGCACCCCACGGCTGTCCCCACGCCCTGTACCTGTACTTGGTCTCCCTGCCGATGAACTGCACCATGCATCGCAGGGTGATCACTGCGGGCAGAGCCAGGCGACGCGGGGTCAGCAGGGGACAAAGGGACGCTGCAGGGCGGTGGGGACACCACAGCACCCAGCGCCCAGGCTGTCCGTGGGGAGGAGCAGCAGCTAGAGGAGGTCGTGCAGGGGTACCTACCGTGGAATGGGTGGGTGATGAGGGTCGCGGCGGAGCGAGCAACCATCTCTCGGGAGGTCTGGAGGAAAAAAGGGCTGTCAGCGAGGGGAGGAAGGGCAGGAGAGAGCTGCCCAGCCCAGCACCCTCCTCTTCCTGCGCTCCTCACCTCCTTGAGGACTTGCTCCAGCGAGGACACATGCTCCTTCTTGCTGGCTCCTGGCTGGAGACGGGCAGAGGCGTCAGGCAGGGTACAGCACCCCAAAACTCACCCCGTTCTCCTCAGGCACGGCTGCGCAGCCCCCCAGCACCTAGCCCCTCCAGCTCTGACAGCACCCTGCTTCTCCTCTCAAGCCTCAAAGGGGCGGCACCAAGAGCCAGCTCCGTGCTGGGCTGCTGCTGCTAATCCCCCTGCCTGCAGGGCACGGCCTTGCCTGGCAGCAGCAGCTGCTGGGGACAGAACGGGAGGAGGAGGAGGGGAGGGGAGGATTCACCACCAGAGCCTCCTCCAACGTACCTCAGCCTGCTCGGCGTCCTGGTACCGCTGCGGAGAGAAGGGCACACGGTCAGCTGGGCACCACGGGAAGACACAGCCCCGCCGGGGCCGGCGCACGGGGCACGGTACCTGCAGCACTTTGCTGTGCACCACGGTGCCGATGGCGCTGGAGCAGAGCCGGGGGGTGAGGCCTTTGAAGAGTCCCTGCTCTCCCGTCGACCTTCACGATGTGCTTGGCTGGGGGAGACGCGGGTCAGGCCGCGTCGGGGCCCCAAACCCGGAGGGCACACCCGCGGCCACCGGGCTCCCGGGGCCGCTCACTCACCGTAGGCGAAGAGGCCGGGCAGCTGGTAGACCTGGCGGCCGAAGATGTTGCGGCCCAGCGTGGGGGGCAGCGGCTCGTAGCCAACCTGCGGGGAGAGGCGCGGCCCAGTCCCCGCCATCCCGGGCAGCCCGCGGGGCCCAGGCCCGGCCCCAACACCCCCCGGTACCGGTACCGGTATCGATCCTGCCCGCCTCGCCCGGTAACGCTGCCCCTTACCTGCACCAGCACCTTCACGTACATGAGCGGCTGCGACAGCACCGTCAGCCCCGAGCCCAGCAGCACCTGTGAGGCCGAGTCCGCCATCCCGCCGCTGCTCCTCCCGCTGCCCCTCCTGCTGCCGCCCCGGCGCCACGGCCCAGAAGGACACGGCCGCCGCTTCCGCTTCCGCCCCCGGTACTTCCGCCGCGCCCGCCGCCCGCTTCCGGCCCGGGTTGCCATGGCAACGCGGCCTGCGCCGCCAACGCCGCCTTCGAGGCCTGAGGCGCCGCCATGGCGGCGGGGCCCGAGGGGCCAGCGGGCGGTGGAGGCGGCGGCCCCCGGGGCCTGCGGGGGAAACGGGAGCCCGGCAGGCACCGGGGGACGCGGCCCCGTTAGCGCCGGGCGCAGGCATAGCAGCGGGGGCTGGCGGGGCCCGGCCGCCCCCCACGACCACCGGTGGTGGCTCCCGGTGTGGGCAGCGCCATGGCCGTGCCCCGCGAGGAACCGGTGGTGGCGGTGGTGGCACGGGCAGGCCCCTGTGCCCTCGTGTCCCCCCACAACCGGGCGTCCCCCGCAGCGGCACCACGGCCTCGGGACCCCCTTCCCGCTGCACCGGGGACGGGCAGACGGGGAATGGCTCCACGCGGCTCCTCGGGCTCCTCTGGCACCCCACGGCCTCCCCCAGGGGTGTTGGGGACCCGCGGTTGTCCCCGGGGCCTGAGGGACCACGGTGGCACCTGGGGGAGCGCAAAGTAAGGGGCTCGGTGCAGCCCCCGCGGTGCCACCCAGGCTGGGAGCAGCGTGGGGACACAGCCACGGGGCAGGGGAGGGGTGAACCACTGCTCACGGGGGCACCGGCGGGGCTCTGGCGGGTGGCGTTTGGCCGGTGCAGGGCGTTCCTCGCCCTGCGGCTCCACAGCCGCTTCCTCCGCCTCGGCTCCAGCCGCCCTGGGTGGCGGACAGGCACCAGCACCTCCTCCCGGGCGCCTCGTCCCTCCCGTTCCCGGGAGCTCCCGGGCTGTGCCTGGGGTCCCTCAGACACGGAGCTGTCGGAGCCGCTGGTGCTGCATGAGGAAGAGGATGGCTGCAGCCTCCACCGACCCCACCAGCCCCAAGGCAGTGTCACCGGGACGTACCTGGACTCAAGGTCTGAGGTGGGGACATCACTCCAGCTCCCACCGGAGCCCAGCCGCCGCCGCAGCAGCGCGTGCACCTCGGCCAGGCACTGCTGGAACTGAGGGACAGAGCCAGCGTTACTGTCACCGCCACCACGGGGCCTGCCACCAGCCCTGGGCACCCACCCACCCACCTTGGCAGAATCGGGGTCGCAGAAATCCAGCAGGGTGTCGCAGAGGTGGTAGCCCAGCGATTTGAGGTCCTCCACGGTGAAGTGCGAGTTCCTCCTGCCTGGAGGGGACACGGGATAAGAAAATGAGCGGCGGCTTCCCGAGCCAGGACCCAGAGCTCATCCTTTGGGACTGAAATCCCATTCTCCGGCACGACGCCGCCCCCAGCGCCTCCGCACAGCCCCTCACCCAGCGTGGAGCCGCCGAAGGCCGCCTCCATGGTGTAGCTGTTGGTGACGCCCATCCGCCACATGACGACCCTGCCCGTCCCCTCTTTGCTCTTCTGCACCTTGAACTTGCAGCTGGGGAAGGAGAACTGGGGCCGACGCCAGGGTCAGCGCGGCAGGGGACACGCTGGATATCACCCCAGGGAGGTGCTAAGGCAGAGCCCACCTTGTCGGGCGCGTTCTTGCTCAGCATCAGGGGGAAGACGCGCTCCAGGAACCGCGACGCTGCCCCGGCCCGGCCCCCGTCGCAGCCGTACATGAAGACGTTGTTCTTGCGGCTGTGCCCGTGGAAGTCGCAGTACAGCACCACCTCCCGCTCCGCCAGCAGCCTGTGGGCTCCCGTCAGGATGCGGCCACCAGCACCGGCCCGCCAGGCTCTCCCGTGCGCCACCCTCACCTCTCCACCATGGCCCGCAGGTGCCAGACAGCAGGGAAGGAGCCCCGGCACCCCGTCCCGTAGGCTCTGTTGGGGTCGCGGCCGGCCAGGGAGCAGCGCGAGTTGCCCACCACCACCCCGTCGGGGTTGAGCATGGGCACCACCTTGAAGACGAAGAGGCGGCGCAGGAGCCGGGCGTCGGGGGCGGCGCTGAGGACGAAGTCGAGGAAGCCCCGCATGGCCCAGGAGCCGCCGCTCTCGCCGGGGTGCGCGCGGGCGCTCAGCACCACCGCCCGCTTGCCCGCGCCGCCGGCCGGGCCGGTGATGGTCAGCAGGTAGACAGTGTTGCCGGCCAAGCTGCGGCACAGCGCCCGCACCGCGCAGTACTGCGAGCGCACCGGGTCGCCCACCACCGCCCGCAGGTAGCGCTGCAAATCCGAGTAGGTGTAGGGGTAGCAGTGGGCCAAGTAGCAGGTGTCGGCGTCGTGGGGGAAGCGCATGCTCCAGGAGAGGCAGAAGGTGGCCGGCTCGTCCCCACCGCCCCGCCGGTAGTAGCGGACTTTGTCCCCGACACGGCGCCAGCCGACGGCACGGCTGCGGGCGTCCTGCTGCGAGTAGAGCAGCGGCCGCATGCCCTCGCCGTAGAGGCTCTTGGGCTTCGCCAGGTTGGCGATGGTGAAGCGGTAGACGGCGTCTCGCCGGGTGTTTTGCACGCGGAAATAAAACCACTGCGTGTGCTTGGCAGTGTACAAGTCCGGCCGCAGCGTCAGCACGTACTCGTAGGGACCCCTGCCCGGGGGGAAGGGCCACGCTGCGGCAGCCCGGTCCCGCTGCCATGTCCCTCCAGCTGCCCCCACCCTGGCCCTGCTCTTACACCTTGACGGCTTTCTGGAGGTTGCCGCTCTCAAAGCGCGACTCGAACAGCAGCGTGGTGTCCTGGGGGCCCTCCAGGGACACCGCCGGTGAGGAGAGGGGGCCCGGGGCCCCCCCGGCCCGAGCACGGGTGAAGCAGGAGCCTGGGGGCACTGAGGGACAGCGGGGTTCAGCACCTAAGGGGACGGTGTGGGGATAGGGAGGGTGCCAGCAGCACCCGTGGGTGCTACCTGGGTTCAGGTGGTAGACAACGGTGCCCTGCTCCTCGCTGCTGCCCGCTGGCGCCTGCTCATGGCTCGAGGGCTGGCAGAAGGGCTCGGGTTCGGGGGGAACCCACTCTGGGGGGACACAGATGCGCCCCGTTGTCACCCCGTTGAGGACACGGGGATGAGGGCGGGAGAGGCCGGAGCGCTGCCTCACCGATGTGCTCGATGGCCTCCTTGATGACTTCACACTCGATGGGCCACCGGGGAGCGGGCAGGGGTCCTCGCGCCGAGGGGAGGGCGAAGAGAGCCCGCGGCTCCCCGGGGAACCCGCAGCCCCCCGAGCGGCCCGGCTCCAGCGCCCTGGGGGCTGCAGGAGGGGCTGGGGGGCTCCCGGCCTCACCACACGGCACTGGCAGAGCACGGGCTGCAAATTTTGGGGACAGCGCTCCTGGTGTCACCCCCCAAACCACCCGCCACCCCCAGGCAGGGACAAGGACCCCGTGAGGGGTGAGGCAGCCCCACAGCCCGGTGCCGGGGGGCTTCACTCACAGCTCGGCTCCTTCCCCACGCGCTGCCGGCAGCCGGGGCCGGCGCTGCCCAGGCCAGGTGCCTCGGCGTGGTGGCACTCGGAGTGTCCTCGTGGGGACACGGGGCTCTGCTTCCCACCTGTCTTCTTGCCTGGGGTAAGAGTGGTGCTGGAGCCCCAGCGGGGGAATCCTACACCCCAGGGGATAAATGGGGGGGGGGACAGCCCCGGGCTCACCTCGGAAGTAGCCAGTAGTAGCGCAGGTGGCAGCGCATGAAGCTGTCATAGGGCTCGGGGACCACCTGGGCAGGGTAGCGGGGTCAGGCCCTGCTTAGGGATCCCCCAGGGGCTGCAGCCAGCAGCCCTCCTCCCCCAAACCCCAGGCCCTGACCTGCACAGTGGGGTACCCCGAGGGATCCATGGCCACGAGCTGTGCCCGAGCCTCCTCCCGGCCCTGGCAGTGCAACAGGGCTCACAACGCGGTCGCTGAGCGACCGGTGGCAGTGGGGAGGGACGGGGCGGTCCCGGAGAGGAGCTGGGAAAGGAGCCAGAGGGATTTTGTTATCCCTGGAAGGTACGCAGAGGAGCGGGGCCATGGCAAGGTTCCCCCGTCCCAAAAGCGGGGGTGGTGCTCTGGCCCCAGCCAGCAATCCCACCCCAAACCACCCTCCTGCCGTGGGGCAGGGACAGCCCCCCCTTCAAGCAGACAGCACGTCCCAAACTGCTACAATTTATTGGACAACGATTTAAGTCGTAAAGGGCTCTAAACTGTACAACTGTAAAAAAAACAAAACAAAACAACAACAAAAAAACAACAGAAGAGCGCTGTGTGTGCGCGCCTCATGTGCTCGACGCGGTTTTCCTCCGCTTCAGCCGCGCTCGCCAGTCCTCTGGCAGCGCCTCGAAGTTGGCGTTCCTCTCTGCCATGCCACTGCGGGGACAAAGAGGGGTGTCAGCGCGCAGGTGGTACATGGGGACGCTCCCCAGCACCCCATTCCCTCATATTCCCAGCCAGAGACCCCAAATCCTGCTCCCTTTAAGAGGGGGCACCTAAATGCCTCTCCACAGCCAAGCAACACAGCATGACGAAGTGCTGCTGGCTCTGGCACAGCCTCCTGGCTCTGTACCTGAGCAGCTGCTGCTGCTTCCACTCCTCAATGCGCCTCTGCGCCGTCGTCTCCCGGTCCTCCTCGCTGGAGCTGGAGTTCTCCTCCTCGTCCAGCTCCCGCTGGATGCTCTGCCACTTCTTCACCAGAGACGGCATTTTCGTCTTGCCCTTCTTGCCCTGCGTAGGAAATTCAAGTCCATGGTGAGGGTGGAGGCAAGGAGCGGGCAAGCCAGCGAGGGAAGGGCGAAGGAACATCCTCCTACCTTTTCCTTCCGCCCCTTCCTCGGCTTCTCGGGCTTCTCAGGTGGCGGCGGCGCCTTGGGGGTGGGAGGTGGGGGCGTTTGGGGCGGCGGGGGGGGTGGCGGCTGCTCGGCAGCGCTGGTGGCGGGCAGGGATCCGCGCGCCGGGGCCAGCGGCACGGCGGGGGCGGCGGCGAGGCTGGCAGGCACGGCACACTCCGAGTAGCTCATGAGGGAAGGCGCCGCGGGTGCCGTCACCCCCAAGTAGCCGGGCTGCATGGCCAGGCCTGCGGGCTGGGGGCCGGTGGCGTGGCCTGGCGCGAGGCGGAGGTTGGCGCGGCCTTGGATCTCGCCCTGCAGCCGCTGGCGTGGCCTCAGGGAGGCGAGGGGCACGGCCGAAGGCTGGTATTTGCTGGCGGCCATGAGGGGCTGGCTGTAGATGACGGGGCAGCTGCCGATGGTGGCCGTTCGCTGCATCAGCCCCGGGTTCATCTCGGCGGCTTTCCGCTTCTGAGGCTTGGCGGAGAGCAGCGGGGCAGGGCTGGGTTCGGCGGCTCCCTGCAAGGGACAGGCAACGAGGTGAGAGCCCAGACAGGAGGGACAGAACCCAAAGGGGCCGGGACTCGCCCCTCGCTCCCCTTTTACCACCACCCTCGCCCTTAAGTGCTTGGGGATCCAACAGCAACATGGCACGCATGCCTGCGCCGCTGCTCACCTGGCTGCTGCTGACAGCCGGGCGCAGGAGAGGCTTCAGGGGAGCGTCTTCTTCTGTTCCCGGGGCAGGCGGCTCCTCGCCCCCCTCGTCTTCCATCTCCACTTCCTGGATCTCGCCGTCTTCTCCAGGCGGTGGCGGGGGTGGTGGCGGCGGCGGCGGGGGCGAATCTGGTGGAGGCGGAGGCGGCGGAGGCATTTCCAAAGGCAAGGGAGGTTGGAGGACCGGGACAGAGGACTGAAGCAGAGTCCAAAATGGAGTGAGCGGCATGAGAGACGTAGCAGGGACTTGGCCTGAGAAGGATTCTTTACAAAGGGAGCCTGAAGAATACATATTGACACAGGCTTGAAAACCCAGGCTACTGACCGCGCTGCCGCTCCTGCTGCCAGCACGGGCGCGTGCTGCCTCCTTCCAAGGCCCTGCCGCAGAACAGGGAGGCGGAGGCCAGGCTACGAGCTCGGCCCCGCAGCACCCTGCCTTCCCCGGCTCCGCTGGGACGGCCACAACCGACGGGGACGGCTCAGACGCAGGAGCGGTGCCTGCCCCGGCTCGGCTAACGCTACCGCGAGCGAGGCGCCCGGCGAGGGAGGTGGTAGCCTCCCACCAGCACGGCAGGACGCACGCCGCGTGTCTGCATGGATGGGAACCTGCTCCTGGGGAGCACAAAACCCAGCACCCTCCCCCCCTCTTCTCCTCCCGCCCCCGTGCTGTACCTGCGGAGCGCTCGGCGGCATCTCCGGCGCGCTCTCCTTTCTCTTTGGGGGGTGGTTTAGGAGGACCGTCGGCTTTTCTGTCGGTGCTCTGCTGTCCTTCGTCTTCGTCCTCCCCGTCGGGGAACTCCCATTGCGACTCTCCTGAGTGCTCGTTAACATAGAAATAGCGTCTATGCTCCCTAAATCACAAGAAAGAGAACGAGTCTTTACTTTCCCTCCCCGTGTAGCGACACTCCCGAGGCGGGCCTGCCCACGACAGCAGTGTGCTCTCGCAGGGAAGACCCTCTGCAGCTGGGCTGCCACTCTCAAACGCAACAAACAACTTTGAGGACAGAGGCAGGAGAGGCCCGAGCCGGCTCGCTCAAAGCTACTCGCACCGCTGGCTGCGTGAACGCCGCTGAGCCCCCCGCTCCAGGGAGGGGAGGGCTGAGAAAGCAGGCCAGCGTGCAGCAGAGCGAGGTCGGGCTAGCACCGGGACTTTCAGCCACTGCCTTGGCTCAAAGTCGCCCTCCAAGAAGGGGCACCGGGGAACAGCCCAGTGAGAGAAGCGGCTGCCCCCCTAAGCCCACGGTGCGTGGAGGTCGCTTTTATGATACTCTTGGTGTCAAACATACAGTGAATGCTAGAGAGAGGGAGCGGATCTGGGAGCTGAAAAACAAAAGAGCAAAGATTTCAAATAAAGGAAAATTAATCAAGAAAGCCAAATAGAAAAAGAAATGTTTGGGTCTGACCTGCTGGCAGGAGACAGAAATCTTGTTCTTCATTCCGTCGATGAGTTGAAGTTTGTCCTTTGTCAGAGCTGTTGGTCAGAAGAGGTGATCCAGAGATCCTGCAAAGTTCACAGAGCTCTCGCATGCGCGACCCCCCAGGCCCGCCCTCCGCAGCGCTTTACACTCGCGAGAGTGAACACCAGCTCTGTCCAATCAGGGGATCGGCTCCGTCTCAAAGCACTGAGCTCTCGCTTTGCACTCTCCAATTTGGCGGCTGGCCCCAACTCTGTAAGTGCCGGAAGTTGCTCTGCCTGCCCGGCACCGCTAACGGAGTCTCCGAGAGGGACGGCGCCACGTCGTTTCAGGTGGTGATGGTCACAAATCATGTCTGAGATGTCAGAGATGAAAGGTGAGAAAGGTAGGAGAGCGCGTACCTGTCCCAGTGGCAGGACCAGCCTTTAGGGGTGGCGTTTATTTCGTATTGTTTTAGCTGTTCGGCTGCGTCTTGAAGTTTGCGTTTGAGGTAGTTTCCATTGAGAGCACCTTCTCGCCAGTCTGCAATGCGGGTCTAGAGGGCAAGAACCGGGGGAAGCCGTTGAGGGGGGCTGCAAGCGGCCCTCGGGACAGGACTCGAGGTCCAGGAGGCTCCCTTACGGCACGGGACGCGGGGGGCCAGGAGGAAGAGACCGCCTCCGCGCAAAGCCATGCTCGCCCCCCGCGGAGGAAGGGCCCTGCGGCGCAGGAGGCGGGCGGGCGGGCGCGCGGCACCGCCACGAGCTTCACGCAGCACCGGCCCTCGGCGCTCGAGCGGCGGACAGTATCTGATCCGCTTCGGGACGGAAGGCCGGAGCGAGGGGCGAAGGCTTGGTTACCTCTGTCTGCAACAGCAACATGTGGAAGTTGGAGATAGATTGTCTGTTGATGCCCAGGAACTCCAATTTACTAGTCAGAGTGTTTGCCAGCTCTCCGATCTGAAACTGCCAGGGAGAAAGGGGAAAGAGTCAAGAGCCGCGCTCGGGCGGCGTCACAAGGCTCGGCTCTCCGCGGTCCTTCGGCACGGCTGGGTGAGGAAATCCCCC